CATAACTACCAAGCCACACCCATAAATTAGGCCACGCCCACAGAACCAGTTAGTGGTCCCTGGGATTTAAAATTATGAGTTGGGTGGTCCCTGAGGTCCAAAAGGTTGGTGACCCCTGATCTAATATCAATCATCTATCCATCCACATCTATCTAATCTATCAGTACAATCAAGAAGCCAGAACTTGAAAGCTTGCCAAATGACCTTCCAGAGAAAAATATGAAATACAAAACCCAGTTGTTAAAAGCCAGAGCCGAGAAAGGCTTAACCAGGATTGGCTGTGAGTTTCCTTTCTTGTGGCTTCCTTCGAGCACCCTAGGAGTTGGCTGATGAGGAAGACTTGTATGGGAATGTACGTAAGTCTGTATTTCAGTCCTTGTGTCTCTGAGGCACCCGAGCTGTGTAAAGACACTAACGCCATGTGTTAGGAATGATAGTCAACTGTTGGGTTGGCAATATATAAACCAGGTTAGTCATTTAATACTGTTGTATCTTTAAGAGAATGCTGTAATTGTGATTGGCTGAGGTTCCTCTGACGGCCATAAGATGGAGCCAGAAACCTGGTTTGCTCTCTTCTTGCATTTCCCTATTGCTTTTTGCCTGATTGTTGTTCTGCTTGGATTGTTGTGAGTCTTGCAAACTGTTAGCAAACTCCGTTTACTGAACTTTGTTTATAATACTGGACTTTGTTTTTGGATTATCCCTGGACTGATTTTATTGAATACTACCTGCTTTAACCGTGTATGATTTGGACTGTTTGTTGGACTTTGTTTACCCGTTTACAGGAAGTAAAACCTACATTTTACTATTCAGTGTATCTGTAGGCTGGTTATGTGTTATTCCTCACCACTCTCACTACGTTTCCCTGAGTGCACTCATTCTCCTAACGGGGTATACCTCAACACCATGTATGTATTTGGATGGATTGAAATCCCTCTTTAAGTGTGTGTGTCTGGGTGTGAAGAATGCAAACACCAGTGTGCCAATGCTTCTGTTTTTTTTCCAGACACCAGCTGGCGCAGCGCCAGTGGGCGATGGAGAGAGCGGCCATCATCTGTCGCTGGACGTGGCTGCAAGCTCAGGTGTTGGACCTGGAGTATCGGATAAGGCAGCAGACCGATGTTTACAAGCAGCTCCGTGCCAACAAGGTAAGGACAAGCTTCCTTCCTTGCTGGAAGCATCTTGGCTCATCTTTACAATGGTCACCGCAGTGTCGCGGGGTCAGGGGATTCTTCTTGGGGTGGGCAACCTTCCCACAATCATGAGACTGACTTTCACAATAGGCAGGGATTTGCTCAACCAGGTCGTACAATGGGGTCAAAGCTCACATCCCAACGAGGTCACCTCAGGGCAAGAGGAAGCATGGGGTTTGCTCTCTCTTTTATACATATGGTCCATTGCAGCACTCATGTTCCCTAGCGGGGTCATGAAACATCTGTAAGGAAACCACCAAGCTCAGAGAGCACCAAGGACCCCTAATTATTTCTATTTACCATAGGTGTCCCCCCCAATTTTGTAAACAGCTGTGAATCTACTGCCACAATCCACTAGAATATACAAGTAGAATACATAATACAAAGTGGTTTTTTTGCCCCCCTCCCCAGGGCCCGGTTATCCTGGGCAGCCTCCAGCAGGAAGATGGGCTCAAGCCGCCGAGCCGCCTGGCCTCCCCTGCAGGGGGGATGAACTCCAGGAAAAGCCCAGCCCTGCCTCCCTCCTCCCCCCACCTGAAGGTGCCCGCTGGACCATCACCTTGCATCCCTTCTTATCTCCTCCAAAATGCAGAAAAACAGGTTGGTATTGTAGCAAATGCATCCGGTCGCAAGGAGCAGTGGTTGAGCCAGAAAAGCAGGGAGAGGGGCGAATTTTGGAAAAGCTGCATTGTCAAAAGTCCTTATTTCTTGGATCGAGTGCGGGGAAAAGAAAGAGAAGAGCTTCAATCAGGGCCACTTTAAGACTGGACTGCAACTCCCAGAATCTCCCAGCCAGCATGCTTTAAGAGGTGAGGACTTCAACCCCTGGAATCCCCCAACTGGCATGCTTTAAGAAGAGAGGACATCAACTCCCAGAATCCCCCATCCAGCAATTGTTTGGCTTCGTGGGCGGAGGTCTTCGAAAGCCACAAGGAGGGGAATCCTCCCTGCTGAGATGGCAAATAGGGTTGAGCATTTTTCTATCATTCCTTTTGTTTTAATGGTTTTAGTTTTTTTATTCTTTTAATTAAATTTGTTTTAATTCTTATTCTCCTCCGGCTTTTTCAGTGCTGGGAAATAAAACATTTTTGGAACCAGTAATTAATAATAGCGTTTTTCCTTTCTAGAATTCTCACCTCACCCAGTCCTTAAGGAACCTGGTCTGTCAAAATCACTCCTGCGCTCGCATCAATGGGTCTCCGGAGCCCCCCAAAGCCTGCCCGTCTCCCGATCAAGTCAATGGAATCAGCAACTGGTGAGTTATACCCCATAAAGATTTCAGTCGATAAAATGTATGATTAAAAGATTGTTGTGGTAGTTATCCTACAAAATGTAAGTGGATAAAATTTATCAGGACTAGACTATTGTGATATTTTATCCTACAAGATTTAAGTGGATAAATTTTGAGTGGTGCGTTGGCCTAGAGGTGGAGCCTCTTGCCTCACAATCAGGAGACTGAGTTCGATCCTAGGTAGAGACAGATGTTTTTTTTTCTCTCTCTCTGCACAATGAGAATATTTCTACTGGGACTTCCAGTTGCTCTTCCGCCATGTCAGAGTGGACTGCATGGTTTCGCGTTCTGCTCGCTTGTTGTAGGGTCCTGATTGGGACCGGAACCACCCTGGAGGGGTGATAAAGAAAGTGGGGACTGCTTGGAGGTTTTGAGGGGAGCTGCATCTCCCCTCCCTGACAAGATAAACCCCCTCCCAAGACAAGTTGCAGCGATGGTCTAAAATGGCCACCATGAAGACGGGAAGCAGTCCAGGAAACTAAGACTGTGCTGGAGCGGTGAAGTTGTGAGCGATTTGTGAACCAGGCAAAATACATGGACATTAAGGTACCCTGGAATTAAAAAATAAAGAATTTTTTTGATGAAAGTGTGTAGAAGCGGTGATCAGAGAGAGAGAGAGAGAGAGAGAGAGAGAGAGAGAGAAGAAAATTGGAACTTATGAAATTGGCTTTGAACATTGAAAAGAATTAATTTGGAGGTAGAAATTCAGAGGAAAATATTTGATTATAAAAGGCTTGGAAATTAAACTGGATAATTATTGGAATTTTGGCACTAAATAGGCATAAGTAAATGCTGGAATAGAACATGTTAAAAAGAATAGCTAATGGGAATTAGAGATATTAATAGAAGTTTGAAAACAAGGAAAAAGCAAAAAGGGTGGAATGTGGAAACAACTGAGAGCGCCACCTAATGGTACAGGAAAAATTTCAGTGACTCTGAAAAGTGCTTGGTCTTTCTAAAATTGGAATTTAAAAGGAAATAAGAGAAACTCCACTATAATAAAATAAAAACCTTGAAAAGTGAAATACTAGAATACTACAAAGGAAAAAGATATGTGAAGAAATTGCCTTGGGATTATTTGGTGACTTTGGGAAAAAGTTGGAAAAGAAATCAATTGAAGGAACCTGGAAACAAAGACTTATGGACTTTGATTGTTGAAATTAAATATAAAAGACGCTGGTTGAAATAAACTACTGGACATTTGGATTGGATACAAATATCAAAGTGGGGGGAAAGGAGAAGCGTACAAAATGGGAGAATTATGTGCGGAAATAAGATTGGCATTACATGACATGAAGGAAATGATGAAAGAAAGCTTGGAAATGTACAGTAATATATTACAAAAATTAGAAATGGCGATTCAGATTGAAGAAGAACAAAGAGATCCAGAGGGGGAGGAGTTAAAGAGGAAACCAGCTTTAAAGAACAAGTGGAACAACAAACATTAAAACGGGAAATGTTAAAAAATTGAGGTTTGATGTGATAATTAAAGGGGGAATTGTTTGGAAAGGAAAAGGAAACAGCAGAAGAGGGAATTACAGAGGAAAGATCAAGAGAGGGAGGGGGACAAAATAAATAATTGGAATAAGAAATGGAGGGAAATAATAAAGGAAAAAAAGGGGAATTAAGAGAAAGCACCAGAAAATGAAGGGAAGCAGAAAGCAAACAAGAATGAAAAACTATATAGTTAGGAGGTTGAGAGACAATGTGTAGAAGAAGAATAGCGAGGGAGATTCTGCAAGGTAATGTGATATATAAGAATATGGATTTAAAAACAGATAAAATTGGAACTGATATTTTTAAAGGATTATTGTTAAACCATATGTAGATTTTATTGAAATAGATATGGAAATGGGAATTTATAAGAATATTAATTGATATTTAATAAAGCAATGAATAAAGTTAAAATGAATTATGAGAATTGCAATGGAAAGATTGCTATCTGTTTCAATAATTGAATAGATTAATATTTCTGAAATGTATAGAAGATTTACAAGGTAATTGAGAAAAAGAATACCATTCAGAATCTGACTTAAAGTATATGCACATGTGATATGTAGTACGTAGGAGATTATTGTTCTTAATGTAGAATGTAATTAAAAAATGATTATACTATGGTAAATTTTTATAATGAATTAAAGGGAATAAATTGAGGGAATGTATAAGATAAATAGGTGGCAAGCTCGAATTGACAACTAAAGGGGATAACTTTTTGAATTAGAATAAGGATGAAACTTATTGAACAATGAATGGAATAACAGCATGTGACAGATAAAAGCAATATCTGTAATATAGAAATGAAATAAGAATCTTAGATAATATTGTAAAACAAGACATGAGAATATTTTAAGAAAAATAAAATAAGATACGAACTGGAATTGGATATAATAAGTGTAATGAATTTAATATTCGAGCATATCCAAAGGAAAATAGAATAATGTGATATGAAATTGAATAAGGAAGATGAATATGTAACTATGGTCATGTTTGTATTGAAATGTAAAAACCTGGAACTACACTGTTCGCCAAAAGAGATGTTTTTTAAAATTTAAAATAAAAAATATATTTTTTTAAAAAAAGAATATATCTGCTGAACAAAACTCCACATTGGCGACAGGAAGGGCATCTGGCCAGTGAACACTCCGTTAGCTCCATTCAGTTGCCCAGACTCCACAAGGGATTATGGGGTCGTTAAACAAAGATGATGATGCTTTAAGTGGTTAAATTTACAATGAACAGATCATTGCGGTAGTTATCCTACAAGATTTAAGTGGATGAATTTTGAGTGGTACGTTGGCCTAGAGGTGAAGCCTCTTGCCTCACAATCAGGAGGCTGAGTTCGATCCTAGGTAGAGGCAGATATTTCTCTCTCTCTCTCTCTCTCTCTCTCTCTCTCTCTCTCTCCCTCCCT